CCATGGATATTAATTGCGCAATGCAATCGCGGCCGAATAATGGAAAATAATGCGATTGAATTATTTTGTTGTTTTTTTTCTCTCAATATGCAACTACGAATACATTACTCGTTTGACTGCAGATATTGTATATCAATAGCTGGAAAGCTTAATCAAAATGTTGTGGACCACAGATCGCTTTACCGATTATAGCTCTAATTTGGACTATAATCAAATTAATGTAGTTTTTGTAAAGCTAAAGATGTAGATAATAATGACAAATAATAATATGATATCCTTTCATCTGTTATTGGCAATATTATGGGCAAAGCATTTATCATTGCTGAAGCAGGTCTTGCAAATGTTCTGCTACAGAAATATCATCTTTGTCCAATTGCAGGGAAAAGTATAAGTAAAAGTCATTTCTTGTTCTTTCAACATTTAAATAATTATTATAAATAATTATTATACACATTATTTAATCATATTTAAATATTATGATTAATTATCATACATTTAATTTTATTTATTTATTTAGTTTTAAAAATCGTCCTAAGTTTATTAAAATTGTTTAGAAATAATTTAATGTATTTAATGAATTGTTAAATTATAATATCATACAAATTAGACAAATTATAAATTAATATGTTTTGAAACGCGCACATCTCTTATTAAGTCGTGCGATACGTTTATACGTTTCCGAATTTCGTTTAAGCTTCATTTCGGGAAGTTATTTGAATTATTGTTCGACTTTTAGTTATATCTGTGATATCCTTCCATAGTTTTGCAGCTACGAAAGAGATCTTGTTATACAAGAAATCGCATAATTCTTGTCTCATTAAGATCGCTTCCGCTCCCTTTCATTCGAGTGAAACGCTTTTTAACGAGGATTCATATACGCGTATACGCGAAGAGAAAAGCCTCTTTTTCCCATACACGATACTTGTACATTCACATAATACTTTTCATGTGGCGACACGGTAGATGTCTCGTGATAAACTTACGAAGATTATGTCGTTTTACGTAACGCGGCCGTCTTAATGTCTTAATTGGCAGCCTCCGATTGAAAAGCGTTATAACACCATTATTTCGCAATGTTAAATTCATCGCTAATCGAAAATGTACGTCATGTGGCAACTTCGGACAGCTTTGCGTAATCGCTTTATTCGACTCCGTCAAAGGTTAGACCTTGTAATAAGGGAATTCTCTCTCTGATCTCGTAATACAATTTAGCACGTATTCTTCTTTACCGCTAATATGATAAAATGCCTAGCGATTTACGAAAATTTCGTCATCTCTCTCGTTTCATCCGCGAGAATTAGGGACAGATAATTCCACGGAAGTTGCCGTGCGTGCCGCGAAGAAAGTAATAACCGTGCGAAGGAAGAAAGTTTGCACGCACATATATATATATAAATATGTATATGTATGTATCGCCACGGAGAACAGAACTTACTTCTCGAGAAAATTGAGAATATCCAATAATTACGAGATTCTGCGGCTGATTGCCGCAGAAAGAGCGGAAAATGGCTTTAGGGTAGGCGTAAAAAACAAACGATAAACAGAGTACGAAATGTAGAGCGCGTTAGCACGAGCGTGATTATAGGCTTTATGATATAACGGAAATATAATATATGCGCATATTGCGTTATGTGCATATATATGCACTGCCGTCTACAAAATAGCTTGATAAAGTACGAGGTCAAGCAATAGACGAGCCTGAGATCTCGCAGATAACAATCTTGCGAAAATTCTTGTCTCTGTTTAATTATTTATACTTCCAGATTTCATAATGCGACTTGTAAGCTACACGCGATTATAACTTAGCACGCGATTACTTAGAACGCAAATCATAGAAGATTATAGATATTAATATGGCAGCGCCTTTTACACTAAATACTACTTTGTAATAATTATATAAACAATACATTACACTATTATATTAATAATTAAAAAATGAATAACTGTGGATGTTACAAGATACATTATACATATCCTATTATATTTAAAATATGGTAGCCGCTCGTATATGTGTGTGGATATTTTGTTTTTACGATTGCTAAAGTATTTAAACATTTAGTTTCATCTGGGAAATAATTTTGTTGGATCATTAAAATAATTATAGAACGCTCAAGCGATGATAATAATACTGTAAAAAAAAAATTGGAAATTATAACAATCAGTTTTAATGTTCTAATATAATTATTTTTATGGTTCAACAAAATTATTTTTCAGATCTATATCTAGCTAAATTTTTAGCTACTTCTGCAAATTTGTTCTTTCCATGTGCTATCGGAAATTATGAAAGCTTTTTGAATGTGAAATCAATTGTCGTTAAATAAAAATCGGTATTTAAGCATCGCTTAGAATGCGCCAACGTTTATGCTAAAATATATACGGAGTCAATAGTTTTCAGTAATGTAATTCAAAATTGATTAAAAAAATTTATGACAGACTTTGACAAAATTCTCAAGAGAAAGTTGATCTCGTATTCATACATAATTCATCTCTAAGATTAGTTCAATAAATTTATATTACTTTGTATTAAATGTTTCAGCGGGAGCTTGTCGTAAATCCGCCTTCGAAGCGGACGATCGCGTCCAAAACGCGAGTTCTGGTACCGCCGTCGTATAATCGAGAATGGAGAAAGGAAGATCCGTTGGACGGTCGAGTTTTCGTCGCCCCGGGCGAAGCCGAAAGTGTTTTCGCTGCTCGCGATCAGAAAGTATTGGAACCATGACGAAACGTCGCGGCATCGATCGAACGAATATCGCAGGTAACGTACCGCATGGTCTTGATTCCCTAATAACGTCGTTGCATTACGTGTGTCATTAGTCATAGCGTTGCACGAACTGACTTCTTCCCGTTGCATTCTCGAGCACGATTCGGTTGCTTCACACGCCTCGGTGCCCCAACTGTGATCCTAGGACCTATTTTTTTTCTTGTAATGATAGGGCTCTTTCATAAGATCTCTCCATACTTACGATCCAATAAGATCCAATAAGAGTCATTCGGTATTCCATCTCACGTCGGTTCGTCGCGCGCTGACGTATTTCGCGCGAGGAATTGCGAGGAAAAGCTTTAAAAAAGAACGTCGCTGAATAAAGTTCCAACGAAAAACACGTATATATAGAGAATAGGAAACGTTGGATACGATTTGCTGAACAATTTTATTCAATTTACGTAATAATTAATTTATTAGAAATTGTATAACGTAAGTACGATCGAAGGCGTGCAAAGGCTTAATAACAAGCGGCATTTCCGCGAGCGCGCGTCTCGCTGAGCTGCGAATAAAACAGCGGCGGTGTTATCGGAAGCGGTGCGGCGCGGCGTTATGGGAAAAAAGGCAACTGTAAAATGGTACGTCGCGCATTTGCTCATTCTCCGGAACGCCGACGCTTGGACGGAAACATAATGGACCGATGTCCGTTCAAGCGTCCGCTCGATCCCCGATCGCCGTTAAGTAATAGTCAAACGGATGGGTGGAATCGCTCGTGCAACATTCCTCTTCCGATCACTCGGGATAAGGAAGAGGAACGAAAGAGGGTTTTCTTTACGTCTCTTCGATCGTGATGTCGTAATGGTCTCTTAAATGATGGCTTAAAAAGAAAACGCTTTTTATGAATGTTTCTTCGAATGAGAGAGAGAGAGAGCTTTCGAAAGTTTGCTCATTAGACTGCAATATATAATTGTTTTATCGGCTTAGAAAAAATGTCCGATTATTGGAGGGATTTTTCGAAAGGAATAATCTAAGATAGTTAAAGACGGACTTCAGGTAGATTTAGGAATAAGTCCTTTACTTCTGATAGTGAATTCCTACCTCTATCCTTCCGGTTTACTTCCGTTTTCATATGTCGAAAATATCTCGGGAGAAATCCAGAAATCTATTTTGCTTTCTTTTCCTTTAAGTACAAAAATTAATATAAATTGTAAGATAAAAGATGTGACGACACATGTTTGTCGTCACACATTACTACAGACATATTAAGGAAACTATTTAAAAAAATTTTTAAAGTTGGTTATTAATCTATAATTAAAATTCTAAATTTATAATTAAAATTCTAAATTAAAAAATTCTATCAAAATTTAATAAGATGAGATACAATAAATTTTATATTATTTATTTCTATTTTTATATTATTATTTTAAAAGGCATTTAACTTTTAAGAATTTTAGAGAGTTTTTATTTTTAATTTTTATTTTAGTCGTTATAACAATAATTAGACAAGCAAACATTTCATTGAAATTTAATAAAATAATATAAAATATAAATATGTATATAGTTTTGAATAGTTTTAAATTTTAAATAGTAAATTATATTCTAAATTTTTTTAAAATCTTGATTGACGGTGGACATCGCAAGTAATACGGTCCTTCACCCTATCCCGTGGCAAGAAAATGCCGAGAGAAGAAGTGGGTTCCTTCTTTGTTGACGTTCACCGGCCTACCTGGCGGCTGTGTCTCCCACTTGAGAACTCTTCCCGCGTCCGCGGAGAAGTAAAACTCTCGGACGTTTTCCGATCTCCAACAGTCCCAAACTCGTCCCCGTCGACGTGCGAACTCGTTAGGCCCCGCAACTGGTAGCTGGCATATCGGCCTCAGCCGCTCAGCCTCTTCCTGATCTCTCGTCTCTTCCTTGAACGCGGGAAGGAAGGAAGAACGGAAGAGACGCCGCCGCGCCGAAACGGAATCGCGCCGGTGTATATCCCCTGAACGCGAGAGAGGCGCTTCTGCCGCGTGATTAGACGAGAGAACCGCGACCGATAAGATCGAAGAGACGAAGAAAAAACAATAGGGATACCTCGCGCCTGATCTCACGAGTGAGATTATTGTTTTTTTTTTTTTTTTTTAAGAGGATAAGGCAGGTTCATCTTTATTTACAAGGATCGTCGACTGAGAGATTGCCTGAGAGAGCAATTGTAAATTTAATAGAGGCGCGAGAGGGCTCCTCTCATGTTCACCGGTGGTGAAATTCGAAAGAGGGATACAACGGGTGCTTCGACGTAGTGCGGACGTCGATCTAAAGAGCCGGGAATAGAATTTCATTATTCCACGATGAGTCGGAGATACTTCTTGTGCTTTCTGTGGACCGCGTTGACACTGCGGGGTGACGTCCTCGCGGCAGCTGAGGCCGATCCTGCAATTCTAAACGGTGCCGAGCTGCCCCATCTTCAACAGGTGAGTAACAGGAAGCAACATCTGTCTATGCTTTACTATCGAACGGGGGAAAATAAGGAAAATGCATTTAATATCGTCGTGAACCGATGCGCAAATAATCTAATCAAAGTTCCTTTATTTCTTATACTTCTTAAATTTCTTCTTAATTTCTTCCTTCTCCAATTGGCCCGTTTTATTTAGTCGGAAAATTTGTACGACTACCGAGCGACAATTTTCGTCATGATTACTTTCATTTTCCTTAATTAACTCCATCACGCAACTTTCTCTCGCGTCAAAAAACTTTCCTCGATCGACCGGCAAAATATGTATTTGCGTAATGGAAGTGTAACGGCGCGAGATTCGTCGCGTCGCGAGAGGTCTCGGATTTAACGTCTAAAAGCGGTGTTGACAAATGCGATTTTTCACGCGTTTAATCTCGATTCGATTCCGCTTTATTGTTTCTAATCGGTGTACACAATATGCCATTAATCCATATTGTATAGATTTTTGCATGAAATTTTGCGAAATATTTCATGGAAGTAACAAGAAAATATTTACGGTTGAAGTAAAAGCGGGAGTTCTTTGCGTTTTAATCAATCACGAGGCAATTACTGAACCTAACGTTTTCGAATGGAAGTTACCCGCGGCTTCGTAGTACATTAATTTCTCGACCTAAAAATCACACGGCGATAAGATCGGTAGTTTCCATACACTCGTTTTAAAAAGCGGCAGTCTGAGTAGTGATACAATCGTGTATAAGCGCGAACGAAAATTTAAATGCGTTTCGTATTATCGCTGGAACGGCACTTACATCCAAATGAATTGCACAAACCGCAGAATTCGCTCTGCGGTGAAAGTAATTGCTTCATTATTCTTATATTTTACTGTCACAAAAATTTCCTTCGTGGAAAAGTCATAAAATTTGCACTATATCTTATAAGAAGTCGATTTTACTCCTGTCAGAATTAGAGATGTTTGGATGCGCGAGAAATCCCTAAATTAGTATCAACAATAAAACAGATAAATGTAATATAAAAATGTAATAATAAGAAATGTAACGTAAAAATATATAAATAGATATTCAGTTTTTAGTAAAATAAGGTGAATTGTCCTCTAGGAATACATGATTATTTGAGCGAGTTACATTAGTCAGAAAAACTTTGTTATTAACTGTATTATTATCTGATTTACTTGATTGGGAAAAATTGAATAATTAATTGAACAGCGAGTTAGCAATGGAAAGCTGATTGTGAGGCTTCGTGTTTCGACAATTTCAGAGGTTCCATCATCAATCTCGCTTGCGTTTCCGCAATGAATCCTTTGACGTTTGATTGGATTCGTTTCGAAATTTCTCCAGGGACTCGATTTAATGTATCGCTCCGGGCACGTAGATTACTCGGGCGCGCGGACGGAGTATGCAGATTTAATGAAATTGCTGCGCCTGACGTAATCAGGCCGTTACCAGTGCGCCCGTTGCATCGCGAATCCTCCGGCTATCTACCTCGACGATCGCAGTGAAACTTTACTGGCGCGGGACAGTAACTGTGCGCAAAGAAGAAGGAGGAAAAAAAAGAATCGCGATTTGCGTTAATTACGCTCGCGGTTCGTCTTCTCTCATAAAGAACGCGGAATCTATATTTCGCGTCTCACGCTCGACTCGCCTCTGTCTGTCGAATACTCGTCGCGATGTTTTTATTCGAATTGGAAGGCGCAGAGGAAGCATTACCTGGAAAGCGATGCGATTTATCTGTTTAAGTAACGCGTTTTACGCAGTACCGGTTTATAGATATGATAATTCGACAATATCACAGGTTAACTTCTTTCAACAGACGTTCCTTACAGACAGGAAATGAAACTTTTACCGTGATTCTTATGATAACGTGATATTATATGATCTTTTCTATTTTGAAAATTTATAGCGCAAAAACATAATTCATTTCCTATCTCTTGTTCAAATTAATATATATAAAATTAATATATATAAAATGTTCCAAATTTTTTAATAGAAAAGTGAAAAGAAATTTTAAAAGAAAATTTGATATGTTTAATAAATAATAATTTTGTACAAAGATATGTTATATTAATATATGTATATAAAATTAATATATATAAAATGTTCCAGATTTTTTAATAGAAAAGTGAAAAGAAATTTTAAAAGAAAATTTGATACATTTAATAAATAATAATTTTGTACAAAGATACGTTATGTCAAAGGAAAGTGACATAAAATCTGAAGTATTAGCACTTTTAGAAAAATATTTTACAAGTAAAAGTAACTCAAATTGACATTATATATTAATAAATATATGAAAAATAAGTATAAATTAATCTATATGTGAAAATAAAAGTATAGAAAATACGTTTCTTATAAAATACATGCAAAGCATGCAAAGCGCCACTGTATCAATTACGGCAAAAGAGAAACAAGTTAACAAATTGACACATGATAAATATTGTAGGAAATTAGACATCTTGTAAAATTGACGATTCAGCGTGGCTGACGACTGTGAAATATTGTCATCGAATTTCTTGTATATTCATCGCAATATTTTATTTTAACCTACTTCCGTGCGTTTAATGCGTGCTTTCACAGAAAGAGAAAGATAACTGTTCGTGTGTCAATTTGAATATTCCTCTATCTTTCTCTTAGATCAGTCCGTTCAGTGCGGTTACGACGATAGAGCTCTGAAGCGCAAAATCATAAAACAACAGAGGCTGCACGAAAGTAGAACCGCACGAGTGCTCACCCACTAACAGAGTGACTCTTGACCCCCCTCTCTTCCTCTTTGCCTTCTCTCTGTCTCTCTCTCTCTCTCTCTCTCTCTCTCTCACTCTCTCTCACTCGTACCTTCTTCCTCGCTTCCCCTCTAAGTGTTTTGCATCTGGACTATCAATCCTGCGTATCCTTCCAGCATCTTATTCTAATTGCTAGGTTTCTCTCTAGGAATCAATTCTTTGCACATATATCAAGAGCGTTGTGCACAAAATTTATGAAAGTCTCTACGCTAATGAACAATTTATAATATAAAATGCAAACACCGCAGTACATTTAAGAACATGTATCTTACTAATCCTTTTAGAGACAATAACTGTCACTTACAAGATCTATGATAAACGTTTAAAAGCTGTTGCACAGAAAGATCTTAAGAGTCTTTAACTATTCTCAGTTTCTCTTAAGCTTCTTTTGGAGTATGTAAACAGTCTAATCTTTTGATAGCTTTCATACTAATGAAAAATAAATAATTCTGTGTGAGTAATCTCTCTTCATCCTAATCTAATCTAAGTGGAGGGAAGAGCGCTCTCTTGAAAAGTAATTGTCATTAATTGAGGATAACATCAGGAGTAGTGGATGCGCGTCCAAACGGTGTGGAACGTATCCGATCGCGGGACCTTTCACTCAGGCCGCTGAAAAAAAAACCAGTTCAGGTTTCCATGTGCGGTTTCATGTATATGAAAAGTATCTCGTGTGCGCGTGTAAAAGGAAATACGAGGGACATCCAATTGAAGTAGCTTCCGGTTCAAGCGTCTCCTCTTCCGGAAGCTTCTCGAACGACGTATGTACCGCTGGGTATAAAACGTACACACGTCGCGTATAAGCAGGAACTTTCTAATACGCGAACAACGAGGGAACGTTCATCTTTATCAGAGAAGATATATCTTCAACTGATTAGATATTTACATTTGATATTCGAAACAGCGCGGCGCGTTTTGTTTGAGTAGCATAACGATTATTCTCGCGTAATGTTTGCAATCGCGCTCACATTCGTTTATTATTTTTGTTGTTGTTTTCAACATTTAAATATTAAATCAATCCATGTTATATTGTATAAATGATACAAATAATAAAATAATTTATTTGATTAATTATTACATTATATTTATACATTATATAAAATAATCTTGTAAAAAAATATCAAAAGAGAATTTTAATATATAAATAATACATGTAATAAATAATCCATTTTATTATCTGTATATTATATAAAATAATCTTATATCTTTATAAAAAGGTATTAAAAACATCATGTAGATCTAAAGATATTTCTAAAGTTAATCACATGTATCTGATACATTGCAAAGTAACGCGTGCAGAGATAATCTTTTTTTATGCAATCGCATATAAGCTATGTCGTCCATTAGCATTATATCCCGTGACCAGTTAACGGTAATCAGTAAAGAGCGCGCTAACGTTCCACGCGGCTTTTCCGCAATTTACATAAGAGGCGTACGGTTTTCACCATTCCACTTCGATTTGCCCGTAATCTCTCGCGCGAAAACGCGGGGCAATTCACGCAACATCACACCGGGCGCCGTTCCACAAAATTAAATATCGCGCGAAATTAAGGGGCGCAATTTTATATTTTACGCGCGCGTAATTGCAGAACACAAGCGCGCGCGGGGCATATGCAGGATCGTCGTTTGTTGTAATGATTTTCTGGCACGCGTTAGAAATCGTCTTTACATCGCAGACGTGTGACCTGGTACGCTTGCTGCGGCAAAAGCGATTTTCCTTCGTCGTGTACGTTGAAACGGTGCTCTGGCTGCTGCGCTCTTCTTATCCCATATTTCTTCCTCCCGATAAGGAGTAGTTCATTTAGAGCGTATCTGGACTTTTAAAATACGGGAAATAAAGCATTTTCCTCATTAATACAATACGTACGTATATACTCTGTGAAAGAGACGCGCGTTTGTTAAAATGTAAACCACGCTGAGATAGTGCGTATATTTTAACTATAATAATAAGCGAAAACAATATAAAATTATTTTAAGATATCACACAATTCAGGGCAGGGAAATCGTATATATTAATTCGTTATCCGTTTCTGCCATTCAATTGATGAAAAATATCCTTCCCTTTTCGTTTTCTCGAATGTTTAATTATAACATTAATAATTCGCTTTCGTGTGTCACGGACTATTAACCTCCGGCAGATGGATCGGTGCTACAGCAGATCGCGATGAGGAAATATCGGATCTTCGCGCTCTATGAATCTTACCTGGCGACACGAGGTGAGATCGAGA